GGGGGGTGAGAGCATAAGGAGAAGCGTGGAGAGGAGTAGAAATGGGAGAGGAGAGATATGACAAAATAAATTGGAAAGATATGAGGAGGAGGTGAGAAATGGGAAGGAGGAAGGTAATGGAAGTGAGAGAGGAAGAAAGGAGAGGAGGGGGGAAAACAGGAGAGAGGAGAGGGCTTAAATGGACAGAAGACATCTGAGACAGGGACTACCACACACACACACAGACACAAAACTCAACCAACCATTGAGAAAAGAAAAAAAAAAAAACCAAAAAACATTGGCAATTATTACAGATTGGATGGAAAGTGAACAGAAACAATCAATGAAATCAAACAAAAACAAATCACTGAGTCATTGTAATGGAGGCCCTGAAGTGTGTAGTAGTTTATCTGCATGGGTGCTGCCCCCTGTCTGTGTTTTCACTCATTGGTTCAGTGAGAAACCACACTGGTGGAAAGTAAATCTGATATTCACTTTTATGGCAACTCAAGAGAAGACCAGCTACTGCAGGTAGTATATATCTAACATTATTGAAACTTAGATAAACAACAGAATTGCAGACATTGTAGTTTTGTTTTTTTTTACCTTAGAAGACGGAAATCACAGGAGACTGGATGTAAAGCACCAAGGAGCCCCAAGCCCTGTAAAAAATATATATAATATATAAAAATATAATACATGTAACTGGGTAACTGTAATTATGTGCCATCTGATATTTTGCTGGTCATTACAAAGAGTTAAAATGTTCTTTAATGTGTTGTTAACACATGCATAAAATATATATATATATACTTGGGGGACCGGCCACCACATAATATATATATACTTGGGGGACCGGCCACAATGATTAATAATCAAATATATTAATGTTTACTGTACCAAAATATATCACATAGTATAGAACTAAAAGGACCTTTATTGTCATCACGTGAATGTAATTACAGAAAAAAAATGTTTAAATGTCGCCAAATTGCCAAAGATAAAAAAAAAAAAAAAAAACAGGAGCAAAACGACTGCCTTTATAATTTGCAAGCAGAAAACAAGACAAAAGTCAGTATTTAGGTCAGTATTTAAGTTCAAATGTCTGATGAAGAAAGTGATTTTTAGTTTGTTGTTTTTCATTTCACCTCATACCAGTGATCATCAACTGGTGGCCTGAGGGCCGAATCCAGGACGTGACTGGATTTTAAAATAAACACCAAATAATAATGTTTGACAAAAAATATGATTTATTCCAAAAATATGTATTCCAAGTTGTTTCTGTCGTCAGACAAATAAAAACATAGACGTTGACCCCCGCCCTGTGCCGTGGACGGAGGAGGAGCTACGTGGTCTGTATTTACTACACTTGCCCTAAATTCCTGCCCACTCTGCTTCCATCAGCCCAAACACCAATCTCATCTATGAAAAGATTTTTAATAAACAGTCAAACAGTAATCCAATGTTAACAAGTGCACAACCCGGTGGCCAGAAAACTTCCACAGGTCAAGCACAGATTAAACTCAATCCCGGCCTATATTCCCTGCAATGGCGAGCCTCCCATGAATATTACACGTTAGTCGGAATCTAAGCCTAATCTGTGTCTGGGAAACACAAGCACCGGATGAACGCTCTGCATTATGACAAAGTAGAACTTAGACTTTAAAATCAGCTGACTGCTGGATGTTCTTTTAGATAAAAAAAAACAAACATTCTGTTTCTGTACAGATGTTATGTGTTAGTTCAGATTAAATGAGCGAGAGGCTGAGTCGAGGTTTCAGAGAGAGCGCCGCAGAGCAGAGGTTGGCGATGGGGGAGGGGTCCACATCGAATGTGTCTAATTAGCAAAGTAATTACTTAATTAACACAGAAGACCCCGAAGGCCTTCCTGAGCAGCCTCATATAGACCTCCGCCAAACCATCGCACCGTGCAGCAAACCTCGGAGGCTTCACTGAGCAGCACAGTATAGATAGACCCTCGTCCTCGCCCTCCAACTCACACACACACACGCACACACACACGCACACACTCGTCCACTCGGTGTTCATTCAGTGTCTGTGTGACCTGGTATAATAACATATGGACACAGGCTGATGGTGTCTGAAGCTTCAGACGCTCACGCTGATGTCACCAACCACCAGTGATGACTAACCTGATGTTTAGACAGTGTTTACATGTCCCTGTCGTGTTTCATTAACTGATCTAACACCTGATGTAACCGTACAAAGTTACAGCTGTTCATTTGACACTGATCAAAACAAGCAGCGGTAAAGGAGTAATAAGAGAAAAGATACATCCAAAAAAAAAAAAAAAAAAAAAAAAGATTCTCTGCCATGCCACTGATTCATAGCCACAGGCAGTTGCACAGCACTGGGGGGAAATGTGCTTACATCATCACATGCGGTCCAGGCATCCTGCAGAGGGCAGTGCTTAGAGCAGAAACACAGAGCAGAGCAGTCATCCAACCGACCCAGGAGGAACATGGCAGGGCGCTCCCACGCAACTAGGATTTCTGACATTCTTGGCAACATTTCAGAGGAGTCAGTCCTGAAGTATTCCAGGACAAGAAGATGTTCCAGGATGACGGAACCACAGGCTTCATCCTGAGTTCATCCCCAATTAATAGTAGGCTCGGAATAAAAACACCGGGATACTGTTTTTCCTCACCAGTTACTTAAACAAGAAAAGTTACTACTTTAGAGTCAGAATCTGTGTTTTTTGACATGACTCAGTATATTGGTGCATAAATACGTATAACATACATTTTCTAAAAATAGAAAAACTTTACTGTGTATTTCTATACTTATCATAAAATGACAAAGAGCAGTTTTTGGCAAACTAATGTTATTTGTTAAATGAATAAACTTGAGAAATGAAGAACCTGAGTTGTTGAGCAGTCAACGTTACTTTTCTCTAAATGATCTTCTAAACCAGGGGTTTTCAAAGTGGGGCACACCTTCCCAAGAGGGACGGCAGAGCACTTGGAGGAGTGAGAAACAGGGGAAAATAAATTTTTAAGTTTTTGTGTCCAAGCAGGTACCACGAGTTCAGGTAAAAAAAAAAACAAACAAAAAAAACCAGATAAAGTATAGAACAGGAAATTCACAGCGTCAGTCGTGAAGAACAGCCATGGAAATGTATTTTATCTCTGCAAAACAACGTTGATCACTAATGTCAAAATTAGTGATCCGAAATGAAAGTCAGTGCCACTGGGGAATTTTTTAACGTGAAAACCTTAGAGGCCCTTCCACCACAGAATAACACTTTTTTTTCACATCGAAAAAACATCAAAAATCAATTAGCCAAGTCAGTTAAGAAGGAATTGATGGACGACAAAAGAATAACTACTACTGCAAGGAAACAGGAACTATGACAACATTGAAGATTGAAGATCCAATTTCACTGAATTCAACTAAAATTGGTCTGGAAATGATTCGTTAGTTCATCTATGCGACCGTGACAAGCAGGTTATATTCTTCCACTATTTGACAGCGGGTGCTATGAAAATTAAAAGAGATGCAGAGAGACTCTTTCTTCAATTCCTGCATCTATATTAACATTGCGTGTTCAACTAAACAGGCCCAGGTTTCCCACTGAGTAAGTAAATTGTGAAAACATTGAAATGAAAAGATCATTATATTTCATTACATATATATATACAGATATATATGTATATATATACATATATATCTGTATATATATATATATATATGTAATGACATATAATGATGTATTATATATATTTGTGTCATTTTGTGAAATGCCAGCTAAACCTGTGACTGAAGGCAACTCCTGTGGTTCCCAGACTTATAATCATATAATCTCTGAGGTTCCAAGGCCTGGGTCAGAAAAACAATCAGAGTTGTTTTTATTCACGTCTGTTCAAAGTGGGAATCAGATGTTATTAGTATAAACACAAGGCGTACACAAGTATGGCAGCAATGGCACACAGCTGTCTGGGTCAGCGTATCTGACCATCTCTCGGTGCAATAACAGATTGGATCACACAGCGAATGCCTGAGCGGAAAAATGTTAACTATGAGCCTACTGAGATGAACGGCGTTCTTCACATGACTCAAATTAAGCGCAGTTGTCTTTGAATCTTTGCCTGTGTGTGTGTCTGTGTGTGTGTGTGTTTTTCAGGTTACAAAATTGTGTGTAGCCAGCAGCGGAGTTTGTTCTGGATGCTGATTGGAAGTGAGTGTTGAGCGCTCAGGACAATTATGGAATCATTACCACCTCTATGCCCCGGGCAGAATATGAACACGATGCCATTTGTCAACCAACCGCAGCTTTGTAATCAAGCTCACACGTGTTTGCATGTGTGTATGTATATGTGCCCGTGTGTTTATAAATCTTTGGCATGTTGGCAGAGGAAATGGAATGTCACTCAGCATGTGTGTGCACATGAATATACGGAGGGTAATGGATGACTCAAGAGCCCTGCCCATATTTTGTGTCTGTATATTTGTATAAATGTGCGACCGTATCCAAATAGACAACACCACATGTGCAAATGTGTGTGTATGCCGTGCTCTGGTGGAGGGTGAGGAATGCCCTGCCCTGGCGCAACTGTCTAAACACGTCCCCATCAGCTGTCTCTCCGCTCCCTCCGTGAAGAAAGAACTTAGTGTGAGTTATTTGGGGTTTTTTCTCACCGCGCCCCACACTATCATCTCACACAGGCCGCTCAGGGGCAGTACGTGGGAACGTCCCTCACGGCCTCTTTTTAGACCCGATAAATGTCTTCACGGGGACGGACAAACTTGTTTGGGAGTTCTCTGGGAGAAAGATGGAGAGAGCTTGTGTTTTTCCAGCTCTTCACGGAGCACCTGTGTCGCGCAATTCTGGGATGATGAAATCGTCCTCAAACCTTGATGCCACTTGTTAAAATGGCATCAAGGTTTGAGGACAATTTCATCGTCCTCGTGTCCAAACTTGTGTCAGTGTCGTTGATTTCCTACAGATACAGCTTTGGTTTAGTTGTGTTTTTTCGAGGCTGACCTTCTTTTCTGAAGATGCAGTTTATTCACAGCAGTGTAGGTCACACACAGGGTTAACTGCACTTCTATCTCCTCCCTCTTCCTCTCCCCTACTCTTTTTGACTAACTTCTCCGGCTTGTCTGTGTGTGCATAAAGTCAGTCACTGAATGATGTGCGTCGTAAGTGCACGAGGGATTAGCAGCTCAAACATTGATCACTGATAAGCTACAAAAAGTGCTCGTGTATCTTGTCACATGCCTCCGCAGCGGTTCTTCTCTCCGCACCAACTTACACGAGTTTCTGTTCGTAAAACAATACGCAAAAAAGATACATGGCCGGCCCTGATGAAATCCCTGTTTGACACAGTCAGCCAAGATCCCCCCAGACAAAAACAAGCCATTACCATTAGTCAAAAGAGATCAAAGCTGAATCCCAGCTGAACACAGTGTTTGGGATTGCAGTGTCTGACAGCCATCTGCACTGGCAAGAAAGAAAAAAGGATTAGACATTGATAGCAAAAGAGATCCACCAGATTCGCGTTTTTTTTTTCCCTCAGTGTCAGGACTGATAAATTTGTGCAAGCTACACTTCACTTTGAGGAGAGAAGTGCATGCACAAGTAGTTTAAAAGAGAGGAGTAGTAGGAAAGTGGAGATAACGAGTTTGTAAGAAAAAAATT